ATATGTGCCTGCACATGCATTTCTCCAGTAAAAGAAATAAAAAGCAATAGCTGGGGCCGGCACTGTGGGCAGCAGGTTAACACCCTGGCCTGAAGCGCCAGCATCCCATATAGGTGCATGTGCTAGTCCTGCTGCTCCTCTTCCAATCCAGCTCTCTGCTATGGCCTGGGAAAGCAGTGGAAGATGGTCCAGGTCCTTGGACCCCTGCACTCATGTGGGGGACCCGGAAGAGGCTCCTGGCTTCAGACTGACGTAGCTCTAGCCGTTGCAGCCAACTGGGGAGTGAGCAGTCGATGGAAGACCTCTCTCTCTGTCTCTGTCTATCTGTCTCTCTGTCTCTGTCTCCCTGCCTCTTCTCTCTATATAACTCTGACTTTCAACCAAATAAATAAAAAAAGCAATAGCTAACATTTTTCATTAAGTATGTGTCAGGCACTGGTTCTAACTGATAATGTTTATTTAACCTACTTAATGTATGGAATAGACAACTTTGTTCCTATTTTATAACAAAGGAAAACAGGCAGAAAAGTTTAACTTGCTGAAGTTCCAGCTATTTGTCTTGTCCACTGTGTAGGACGATAAATCCAACACTTCTGGGTTCTACTTCCCTTAATCTCACATGGTACTAGTTACATGTGTTCCTGAATATAGTATGACCTCCAGCATATAGCAGCCCCCCATTTTCCCAAGAAGATTGTTGAGTACATCTTTAAGGCTTTATTTCTTTTTAAAGGCAGAGTTATACAGAGAGAGGCAGTTGGAGAGAAATCCCCCATCTTGGTTCACTCCTCAAATGGCCACAATTGGCAGGTCTGTGCCAGGCCAAAGACATTTTTAAAATTCCATTTTTCATACAATTCTTGAAATTCCCTTAAGTTATTTGCAGTTCCAGATAAATCTGAGGCACAGAACAGTCGAGAATTCACCACATTATCAAGGCACAAAGCAAACTCGACAGTGTGGCCCACACGATGTGTGTGTAGGCAAAGCAAAGCACACACAATGCTCTCAGGAAATGTTAACCAAGTGGGACATGGTCTCTTTGCACCTGGTCCTGTCACTGCCCCGCTACAAGGTCTCCACCACACTGGAAGCATAGGTACCTGGTGAGTTTCTCTTGGGATAATCATTGTTCCTAGAATGTTGGGTGGAAGAAAAAAAGGCTGCTCAAATCATGTGTAATGATGTGTTCTGTTATTTGTGGCTTGCAAAATTTGTAATTAGACTTGGGATAATGATGCATTGATTTTTTCCCCCTGAATAAGTTTATTAGTATTTATTGTAATAGCACATCTTATGACATTGTTTTATTTTAATATTCTGAGTGTATTTCCTATATCAAACTCTAAAAGCTTATAAACTTCATTAATATTCCTTTTCATATGAGTTAAAATTATTGAACAATATTGTTAATTTTTTAAATACCTTACAATATCCCTGTAGCTTCTCTGAAATCTATACCACTTCTTCGAGATTGCAGATGGCCCAGGAAAGGATTAAGACAGAGCATGCTCTGGGCCAGGTTTGTAGATGGGATCGCAGGCTTTTCCTAACAATCCACGTTTCTAATAAAGTCCTTCAGGTCTCAGTGCACCTACAGGAGTGCACCCGGGCAGAGGAGACACGGCTAAATCTGTGGCAGACTCTCTGTCCTTGCTGTAACGATGGATACCTGAGTTCTCCATTGGAGAAACCAAGGTCAAACAGGGTCTCAGTTCTACATTTAGATAAGATAGTGCGCTCTAGGTCACTGATCATTCATTTCTAAAATTTGAAGAGCAAACATAGTTTTCCTTGCTCAGACTTCCACAGTGTATGGAGATTATTTCAATAATTTTCTGGTCAGAACTGTAAGATAAGTTCGATTTTCACTGTACAATTTCAAGAAACACAATCAACTTAAGAAAATACTAAGACATACAGTATGCATGATGTTCCAAAACAACAAAATCTGATGACAAAAATGATTGAATCTTAGCAGATAAGATCGAATACGTCTCAGTTTATTTCTAGCTACAGGTCATGGACAATGAAGTGGGTGTGGGTGTGGGTGTGGGTGTGCCGCTTGTTAGATTTGATTGTTTGTGGCAGGAATTCAGGCTCCAGAAACAGATATACCTGAGTTCTAATTCTTGGTTCAGTCACTTACCAACTTCAGGGTGTTTATACTTGGAGACTCAGTCCCTACCTGTGTGTTTGAGATAAAGTAACAATATTAAATTTTCTCTGAAATATAAATGAGTCAAGAGCAAGTAAAGAACTTATCAGAGTAACTAGCACATACATCTTGGAACAGTACATCTATATACTCACATGTGCAGGGATCATGAAATTGGATTCTTCTCTGGAGAGAGCCCTCGGGCTATTATTTTTTATAGAATGTGGATAAAAAATATAAAAGCAGCAGCACACTTTCTTCTGAGCCACTGGGTCGCTGCTGCTGCCTGCAGAATGCTCTTCGTTCTACTTGGGGCCCTTTTCCACCCCAGGCTGCGGAGGGCTACCTCGTGATGATTCACATTAAAAATTCAAAATGATGATTGGAATTCAAATGAGAAGGAATCACAGCTCAAACTCAGTGGTGACTGCTATCAACAAGGCTCCTTTAAACTGGGATCTGATTTTTCTAGTAATTAAGCTCTTTGGAAAAAAAAAAAAAAACCTTTCAATTTTAATCTGATTAGGATAATAGACCTTTTTGCCATGAACAATAAAACTGCAGATGTCCCATTTATAATTCGTCATGTGAATTTTTGAAACACTTTCTGGTCTACCATTTAAAATAGCTGAAGATAGTTTGCAGGTGATTTCCTCTGGGTGTATGATTCCTTGGTATTAGGTTTTGGAATTGAATGTTTGTAACATCGATGTCCTTGAGATTCATGTCCTAAAACTGCATTTCCAAGCAGGGTTCATCAAACTGTAAAGGCAAAAAACTCAGATCAACATCAAAACCATGCCCTCCTATGGTTAATCAACAGTAAATCCAGTTTCATACTTTAAAGAAAAATGTTATGGTGAAAATACCGCCTTCGATACATCTGTTGTGTTAGGACCTAATGGGACCTATTCCAGTTTACACTATGCTTATTGACAGCTAACTAATGGATTTAACAATAAGACTGCATTTGCATAGTAATGTTATAGTCCAGAAGATATTTGCATTGTTCTTTGTGCATATTTGAAAGGCAAGAAAGAATTGTCTTCACAATTTTTGAATAGACGGGGCGGGGGGGGGGGGGGAACCTGTAATATAAAGTTAGTTTCCAAAGGTGCTTTTCTTGTTAGAAAACAGAACATGGATTAATGCCATACCTTCTCCAGTGAAGAACTACCTCACAAACTAACCCAAAGGTATCAAAAAGTAGACTCAAATGAAACAATTAGATGCATAAAGTTTCCAATTAACACAATGAGGCAGAGGTACAGTGATGCAGAAAATGGTCTGAAGTCACAAACTGGTTCTTTAAGGAAGAAGATCGCTGCTACTGTGCCTCAGTTCAGTTCCACTGGAGATCATCTGAGGAACCCCAGTAACTAGTAGCTGTCTCAGCCCTGATGCTGCCAGCCCAATTTCCTACAACACTGGAAGTCGTTGCAATGCCCGGGGCTTGACTGCAGGGGATGATCAGGCTGGACTGAGGAGATTTGCTTCATTGAGTAAATGGATAACTGAGAAATTCCAATTATGGACTTCTTTTTAGGACAGTACAGATTTTTAAGGGGATCTATTGACATTATACTTAACCATACATTTTTTCATCTACTAAACATTTTCCTTATCTTTAGGTATTAGTCATGATTCTCTGGAGAGATAGAACCAGTTGGGAAGAGGGAGGGAGGTGTGTGGATGGATTTATTATTAGGGGAATTGGCCTAGATGATTATGGAAACGGAAAAGTCCAGTGGCAGGCTGTCTGCCACCTGCAGACCTGGGATGCTGGTAGGGTGGCTCCAACTTTGAAAGCCTTCGAACCTGGAAACAATGGTGTGGCTCTCTGCCTGAGGCCAAAGTACCAGGGACTCAGAGTACAAATGAAAGGATGTTACTGGTCTAAGTCCTTTAGTCCCAAGGCCAAAGAGCTTGTAGTTGTGATGCCAAAGGGAAAGAAAGGAGGGAGTGCCAGCTGCAAAGGACAGTGAGAGGAACTCCTGTTCTTCGTTCTCCCAAAGGCCTCATCCCATTGTTGAGGATGGGTTTTGTTGATCTTTATTTGTTTAAATATAACCTATCTCATTATTAAAGATGCTTTATTCACAAATTATTGGGTAATCCTGTTATTTCCCATGATCATTGGTGATTTAGCACATATAACTGCAAATACTCATGTATTTATTATTTAGTCCTTATCTTCTATAAACTGTACTTGCCAGAAAAATATAAGAAATTGAAACAAAAAATTCAATATTCCATTTTCTTACCTGAGAGTGGGATCTAATAAAGCTAACTGGAAAGTAAGTTTATAAATTAAAAGTTTATAATCGTCTCCCAAATGACTCTCTTCAAACCATTTTTCCTCAAGTACCCCTAATATCATACTAATATATCTATCTACTTCATTGGGTTATAGCGTATGTTATGCAGTCCAGTGGAGGATAGGACTACTTACAATGTTAAAAAACATGAGATAAATGCAAATTACAAAGAGCAATGTATTTTTTCTTTATGAATATATATATTTGTAAAATGATTTTAGGAAAAATTAAAATAGTTTTTAATAAATAATCTAGCTAAACCTTTGTTCACTTTCCCAAGAACTCCCCATGTGCCTATAAACAATAATAAATATTTTTCAGCATGTCACCATGAAAAAAGTGATGGCTATATTAAATAAATTGATTTAATTTTTCCACTTTATATATAGATATGAAATAACATTGTATTCCACAAATACAATAAAATATGACTTGCTATTTAAAATATAATTTTAAATATATACATATGTATTTAATGGAACAATTCTAAGAAGAAAAATTGACATTTGTTTTGCACTTTCCAGGCACTGGGTTGAATGATGGACAGTGGCATGAAGTCCGCTTCTTAGCCAAGGAAAACTTTGCTATCCTCACCATTGATGGAGATGAAGCATCAGCAGTGCGAACAAACAGTCCTCTACAAGTTAAAACTGGAGAGAAGTACTTCTTTGGAGGTAAGAATGTCAGATTACTAGTTAACTAATAATTTGCTAAAAATGGAATTGGGATAAAGTTGGACCATGAAGTATTTGTATTTGTTTCAATGATCTCAGATCATAGGATAAAACAAACACAATCTGTGATTCCCTTGTTCTAATAAAAGTTGAGCATTTTTGTTTCTTCATGTTAAAAGTATTGATGTGTTATCACCATATCCTATAGTCCAATTCAGATCTTGAAATTATAACACAGGAGATTTTGAATTCATTCATTTCTATAGTAGTATCCTCAAGAATCAGGTTTACAGATCATGTGTTCACCTAATGATATGTAACTAATTACTCTAAACCTTAGTGTCTTAAAATAATAAACATTTATTATTTTATAGTTTGGTTATATCAAGAATTCAAGAATGGTTTAAGCTGGGTGGTTTTAACCCAGAAGGTCTCAAATGGTTGGTTGTGGCTGCCTTCTTTGGAGACTTGACTGAGCTAGAACAACATTAAACAAGCTGTGTAGCACCTCTACTCTTCAGGTAGCTGTGCCTGTCCTTGACTGAGGCCAGGGGATGAAGAAGGTAAAACCAGACAGCAAGACAGAACTTTTTCAAAATGGAATCCATACTTTCGACTTTTAATATTGGTTTGCTTGAAAGGCAGTGAGAGAGACAGATCAATCTTCCATGTGCGACTTCATTCCCCAACAGCTTGGGCTGGGCCATTCTGAAGCCAGGAACTCCATCCAGGTATCAGAAGTGGGTGTCAAAGACCCAAATTCTTGGCCCGCCTTCTGTTGCCACCTGGTGCTTTAGCAGGAAGCTGGATAGGAAGTAGTCAGGACTTAAGCCAGGCACTGCAATGTGGGGTGACAGCATCCAAAGTAGCAGCTTAACCTGCACCTTAATGCCCACCCTTGTTTTCTTTTTCTTTTTAAAAATAATACAATTTTGTCAGTAGTATCTCACCACTTGGACAACCTGCTAATGGGTAGAAGCCAGTCACTAAATCCACCCCACATTTCAAGGAAAAGGGGTAAACGGGACTGAAAATACTAAGAGTGAAGGATCATTATTTGGAGCATCTTAGAGGCTGTTTGCCGCAGTTTACCTTCAGGAGAAACCTTGTTATAAGTCTATTGGTTGTTAAGTAATGAAAAGATCAGTAAAATGAAAGACTGTGGTTGATATGGTCTACTGTATGTGAAAGAGTATTATAGCAAGAACCTGGTATATTTCTTCAGTGGAAAAGTGTATCTGCAAGAAAATATTTTTATCTTTAATGTGTCCCCATATTTTACCATGGGTAATATTAAAGTGTTAGGTATCTTGTTTAGATTAATATGCATTTCATTAGATTGTTCTCTTTCTCATCCTAATTCATGAAATAAGAGGGCTAAAAAATGCATGACTGGGGCTGGTGCCGTGGCTCACTTGGTTAATCCTCCGCCTGTGGCGCTGGCATCCCATATGGGCGCCGGGTTCTAGTCCCGGTTGCTCCTCTTCCAGTCCAGCTCTCTGCTGTAGCCCAGGAGGGCAGTGGAGGATGGCCCAAGTGCTTGGGCCCCCCTGCACCCACATGGGAGACCAGGAGGAAGCACCTGGCTCCTGGCTTCAGTTCACCACAGCGCCGGCCGTGGTGGCCATTTCAGGGGTGAACCAATGGAAGGAAGACCTTTCTCTCTGTCTCTCTCTCACTGTCTATAACTCTATCTGTCAAAAAAAATGCATGACTTTGTGAGAAAAGGCTTTGGTTTAAGTTTTTAAAAATAATGTCTCTTTTGAAAATATTTCTACTAATACTCCCAAACCTGTTTTTAATGTATCACTCTCCATTTTTCTTCTATTTTGAGTCAGAAAAGAGTCTGAGATTTCCCATCCACTTATTCATTCCGTGATCAGCCAGGGCTAGGCTGAGGCAAAGCCAGGAGCTAGGAACGCAATACAGGTCTCCCACGTGGATGGCCAGAACTTAGTTACTTGAGTCATCACCATTGGTTTCTAGTATCCACATAAGCAAGAAACTATAATCAGGACCTGGAATTGGGTGTGAAACTCAGGTGTTCTAATGTTGGACTTGTGCATCATAACTAATTTCTTAACTGCTAGGCAAAATGCCCACCCTTTCTTCTAGTTTATAGAGGAACCCTTACATGACAGCTATCACTTTGCTTTATTTATTGTTATGCATTAAAGTCTTAGGAAAACTCCTAGAATACAGCAAATGAACAAAAAATGTTTATGAATGAATTAGTAAGTTCTGTGACATGGGCTAGACAAGCTTTTTATATCAGATTGTCCAGAAGAAGAAGCAGAAGCTCCACGATTTTACTGACTTTGAATTTGAGCCAGCATCCAAATGCAAGACCTAGGTCTTTTTGTGCTGGGCATTTCTCTCCGCTGAGTGACAGCTGAAAGACAAAAGTCCTGAACTAGGTCTTTGCGTTTTTTAGTCTTCCATGGTGTTTGTAGTAACTAAAGACAGCATGATTTTTAAAAGGCTTTCAATAAATATTTGATGAATACATGGAAATTAGACAAGATGTCTTCTGAGTGAATGAACTGCAGCTGATTAATATCAAAGAACACAATTCAGTAGCCAACCTGGTTCACCTCCAAAAACATCCAATGTGATGGGCTTTGGGCCAGCAGTTTTCACTGCTGTCATAGCAAATGGGTCACACTCATCGATCGAAAGTTATTGATCATCTCTTGCCATCCTTGGACTGCAATAGTTTTGGCCATGGATGAGCTCAGTGAATGCCTAAAAGTTTTCATCTATCTCCATCTAGATGGGTGGGGAAACAGCTGTAGCCACACAGTTGTGGCATAGTGTTTAGGATATGAGGGCTTTATGGTGTTCTATTTATCATTGCTTTACAAGAGTTTCAAGTCCAGCATCGAGGAGAGGATGTTGACTTCCTTTTGTTTCCTCTCATCTGTCTTCAGGTCAGTGAATGATCATGATGCTCTTTCTGTTTATTGGCTAAGTCCAGAGAGTATACAGGAACCACCACAGGGAGAACTCATTGTATGTCAGGTTCTTTTGCCCCACTCCTAAAAGTTTAAGATGCAGGATACTGAGAAATTAAAAAACCTAAACTTAAGTGATTCTGACACAAATTGTCTAAGAAACAATTATAGATGGATTCTACCAATTTGCATTCAGATACTTAAATTTTTAAAAACTCAGTCAATGAATAGTTTGAGAATCATGAGAATTAAATATTCTTCTATAGCTTAGCTACCCGGGAGCAATGAAAGGAAGTCATAATCCAAGGTATGGTGCACACACAGATATTTGCTAAATGAACATTGATTAGGAAGCAAACTCAGCACTTGTAATATAGCTCTTCTGTGAACTCACTATGCCTGGAATAAAGTGTCCTCATAATGTAGGTAACCTACTTAGAGGCATTCAGCTGCCTTGGAGCTGGGGCTAGATAACCAAAAGCCTCCTGAGCAAATGTCTGTCACAAATTGGCCAGGCGATCCCACCTGCCCAACCATTTCCAAGGGCTCAGGTCACAGACCTCGTTCAGTTGCTACAGAAGTCTGGGGGTGTCTCCAAAAGATATTTTCCCAAATTCATTCCCTTAAATATCCTTAACGTAAGTTCTCCTTTCTAACATTCATCTAATTCTTGAGTTAAGTTCACCAAAGAAAACCCAGTTGATGTTCAACCAATTCATTAGAGGAGTAGATAGCAGAAATCCAGAGTGACTATAGAGTTTGATTGGCATGTGTCTTCTGGATAAAACACACGCTGTCCATAGATGGTAGCTTTAGCTGAAATTCATACGCATTCATGCAACTGCATACTGTTTGTGCTGAAAACTTTAAAGTGAGTTGCAAGGTGTTGGTGTTTGGCCAAGTTCTTAAGATGCCTATATCCCATATAGGGACACCTGGGTTTCATACTTGCCTCCAGTTCTTCACTTCAGTTGTCTGCTACAGCATACCCCTGATTGGCAGCAAAGATGGCTCAAGTACTCGAATCCCTGCCAGCAATGTTGTAGGCCAGGATTGAGTGCCCTGTTCCCATGTTTGTCCTGGTGCAGTCTCAGCCATGGCCAATACTTGGGGAGTGAACCAGTGGATGGGAACTCTATTCTTTTATCTCTCTGTATGTCTCTCAAATCCATTTTAAAAAAGGAAGTTGAAGATGTTATATTGAATACATCTTGAGAACAATAGTATAGTTGAAAGATGAATTGCAATTGTTCTAAAACATAAGCTTTGGATCACTTGATTTTGGATCACGACTTTTCCGATTAGTTGATGGTTCCCTTAATAGCTTATCTGACTTTATGAATCTAGTAAATGACAAAGTAATCTGTTTTGCGAAGCCTGTGCAGCATAACCTGTGAAGCCCAAGTCTGACCCCAGGGGTGCTGTTGACTTTCCAATTTATCTGTAGTCTTTTCCTTAAATCAGAGATAATGCCTTCCAAGGAAGACGAGTCTTCTGATGATTGCTCATATAAAAACCCTCCATCAGTTGTACCCATTCAAAGTATTTCTTCCTGCTCAAAAATATAAAAACAAAAATTAAACCCCCAGAATATAAGATGTTCTCACTAGCTGAAAGCCTAGCTAAAGGTTTCCCTGCCCTCCTGTACTCAATTTTGTATCCAGCCCTTGAACTTGTCCATTCTTGTTTCTTTTGAAGTTAAGACCCGGTTGTAGTTTCCTTGGCAGCCTCAGGCTGGGCCGATTCACACCAGTGTACAGGTTTATCTGTCTGTGCTAATCCCAGCAAAGTGCTCTCTCCTCTTTTATAACCCTGTGATCACAGGTTTAAACATCAAATTCCTTTTCCCTGTTCTTTCTTGGGAATAAGAATAAGAATGAGGTTATGCATTCTGGATGTTTCTTTAGCAAAAACGGTTTAGCTGCTTTGACTTTTTTCTCTATCTTCCATCTACAATTTCTTTAGAAAGCATTTTATTTTAATAAATTCAGGGAAATAATTAATAAATAAGTTTATTTACTGACCTCATACTTCCTAATAAGCTTG